TCATATGAATTATTTGACTACTTTTTTGGTAGTGCAAAAGGAATGGTAAACTGCAATTTTTTTACATTTATCCAGGAACTTTAAGAATTACTTACCCACCTCTGCTTATGAATGTGTTGTGGATTTAATAATCATGGGGGTGGATTATTTTTATTTAGGTCTCTTTTTTGTTTGTTGTTAATATTCATGTAGTTTATGAAATCTGAAATTTTATTGAAAATAGTGTGTTGGTGCAAAATATTAATGTCGGGGAAGTACACTGTTTGGTTCCAGCAACTCTCTTACAGTTTGGTCTGTTGTGAGGTTTTCCTGCTATTTGGAGCAACCTATGTTCAGATTTTTAAATTGCATTATTTTCAATTTTCAGTAACATATGTTCAGTTTTCCTACTATTACATGCTTTAAAGTATTTTCAGGATGTGAGGTTTTCTCTATTCAAAATGTGTTTGTTCAAATTTCAGGGATTTGAAGAAAGTTACCTGTTGTGATGCTTAAATTGAGACTACATGATTTGGTTAGAAGTTACCTGCTTCAAATTAACTATTTTATATCTGAAAGTTGAAACATGCTCTTCTTTCCTTCGAATTACCTGTTGCTTCATTTAGGTGCTTCAAAGTACCTGCTGCTTTAATTTGTTTGAATATATGGATTTATGAAGTTGATTTGCTATTACATATTCCTGAGTAAATGCAAATATGTTTGGATATATGAATTTATAGACCAAATGCAACTATAAAGATTTAAGTGCTACTAATTTCTTTTTACTACTAAATCTACTGATTTTATTGAGATAACTGTAGAGCGGTTTAGATGGCCACAGAAATTTATTGTTGTCAACTGTTGTCTTCATACTTTGGTAAGTATATTTTCTATATTTCCTCAAATTTTTTACAGATCTATTCTCTTTTTAATAATTGGAGGACGATGAGTTTCAGATATTCAGGAAAGTCCGGAAAAATTGTGTCGGTGTGGGCTACCGTCCTTGCTACTCACATCACCCCAGCAGCTACGAGAGGCAATTTTACAGGTGCCCACGATGGGCACAAGGACAAGAGGACTGCACTTTCTTCAGATAGGCCAATAATACGTCTGTTTCTATGATATCCAAACTGGACTCCGCTGCTCGGAGTTCGTCGGTATCACAATTTCAGAACACCGCTTCTGGTTCAAGTGCTTCCATTTCTACGGTATCCCAGTCGAACAGGTTTGCTCAATGTTCTGGAGTGTCATATCCAGGCAGCATGGGTCGTGATATGCTGTTATATTTTAAAGTCAACATTATAATTTTTTCTTTGTAATTTTAACATGTTATTTTTTCTTCTTTTTTGTCTCATTATAGTACATATTAGTATGTTAAGATGTATTTCACTTTTGTTTAGATAACTGTGTTTCTGTGATGTGACCTGAAATATTTAAATGGTATAAATATTTTGTATTTTCATGTCTTAACATTTGAATTTTAATTTTAAGAATATTTGTATTTTCATGTTTTTCAATCTTCACATTTATCTCCTATTTATGATTGCATTAAGAAAATTTGATAAATTTATAAAAAAATCTGAAAATCAGTTGTTTACAAAACGCACAAACCAAACAGTTAAACAGTTTATCCAGAAAAGGGGCAGATTGGTCATTTATCAAGAATCGGCTGCTTTCTAAACGCACAAACCAAACAGTCAGTCAGCTTATCCGGATCAGTTGGTCATCAGCAGATTATCAAGATAAGCTGCTTATTAGCATAACCTGGATAAGCTGCAGCTGCCCGAAACATACCCTAAATTGTTAACCAACTATGAAGTATTCAAAATCAATAAAGAATTAATGTAGCCCATAATAAGTAAGAGACTAAGGGCCTGTTTGGGGCAGCTGCAGTTTATCCAGCTTGCTGATAAGAAGCTTATCCTGATAATCTACTGATGATCAGCTGATCCAGATAAATTGACTAGCTGTTTGGTTTGTGCGTTTGGAAAACAGCTGATTCTAGATAAGTGATTAATCTGCCCATTTTTTGGATAAGTTGTTTAGTTGTTTGGTCAGTGTGTTTTTGTAAATAGTTAATTTGCATATTTTTTTATAAATTTAAAAAATTTTATTAATAAAATCATAGAGGGGAGATAAATGTGAAGATTGAAGAACATGAAAATATAAAATAATCTTAAAATTAAAGTTAAAATGTTAAAACATAAACATACAAAATATTTATATCACTTAAATATTTCAGGTCACATTACAAAAGCAAAGTTACTTAAACAAAAGTGAAATACACCTTAACACACTAATATTTACTATAATGAGACCTAAAAAAAAAAGTAAAAAATAACATGTTAAAATTACAAGAAAAAAAATTTTAATGTTGACTTTAACATGTAGCAGCATATCACGGCTCATATTGTCCAATTTTGACAATCCAGAACCTTAAGCAAACATGTCCAACTGGGATACCGTAAAAATGAAAGCACTCGAACCAGAAGCGGTGTTCTGAAATTGTGATACCGACGAACTCCGAGCAGCGGTGTCTAGTTGGGATATCATAAAAACAAACTTACTGTCAGCCCACCTGAAGAAAGTGTAGTCCTCCTGTCCTTGTGCCCACCACAGGCACCTGTGAAGTTGTATTTCGTAGTTATGTGGCTATTGTGACGTGAATAGCAAGGAAAAAAGTCCGCACGGACACATCACTTCTTCGGACTTCCCTGAATATCTGGAACTCATCTCCAGCAGTTATTAAAAAGAGAATAGATTAGTCAAAAATTTGGGGAAATATAGAAAATATACTTACCGAAGTATGGAGACAACGGTTGCCGACAACAAATTTCTATTGTCATCCAAACAACTCCACAGTTATCTCAAAAAAATCAGTAGATTTAGTAGTAAAAAAAATTAATAATACATAAATTCATATAATAGCATTTGGTCCATAAATCCATTTATTCAAACATATTTTCATTTACTCAGAAAGCACGTAACAGTAAAGCAACTTCATAAATTCATTTATCCAAACAAATTAAAGCAGCAGATACTTTAAAGTACCAAAATTAAGCAGTAGTTAATTTGAAGGAAAGAATAGTATGTTTCAACTTCCAGGTATAAAACAGTTAATTTGAAGCAGGTAACTTCCAGCCAAATCATGTAATCTCAATTTAAGCACCACAACCGGTAACTGTCTTCTAATCCCTAAAATTTGAACAATCACATTTTGAACAGATGAAACCCCACACCCTGAAAATACTTTAAAGCATGTAATACCAGGAAAACTGAACATAGGTTACTGAAAACTGAACATAATGCAATCTGAAAATTGAACAAAATACAAACAATAAGTGCCCACCATACATATGTAGTCACTAAAAATACATTAACATACATAATCAAAATACAAGGCTTAAAGCACCAAAAAATCAAACTTATAACAAAACAAGTTAGGGCACCAAACAGTACATAAGCAGCAGTTGCCCATAAGGAGAGTCATCAAGCTGCAACCACACATTTTCAGAATTCGAGAATCATTATGGCAAAAAGAACAGTTGCAGCTCAGTGTGATCTAAAAAATTCTTCCTATTCCATCTAAAAACTTCATTTTTAACATCTCACAGATGTTCACATAAATAAAACCACAGCTCTTTGTGAGAAGTGGGCTTATGTTATAATCTAAGTTGTATAAGAGTATCATCCGAAGTGCAAAGTTTGACCGATGCAATTTCATTCTGCAACGCATGGAGGCAGAGTAGCATAATACATAAACATAGAATTTCATACAAAACAGTATATAATGAATGAATGTTTGTCTGCCTAACCCAACAAATAAAAGTAGGAGTGTCTTTTGTAAAATATTTCAGAAAGTCATTATAAAATGTTTGTCTGTCTAACCCAACAAATGAAAGTAGTTGCTAGTCTTATGTAAATGAAATGGTAATAAATGTAACAGCTAGCAAACCAACTTTCTTAAATGCTGAAACCATAGAAAATGTAAAAGGAGTGCATTGAACCCTGCAGGAAATGCAAGTCTTACATACATTACCACACAATTTTTATTCATTTACATACATAATACATATACAATTCTTAGACATATTTATCCATACAATTATGCATTTATCACACCAATTCTTATGTATTTACGTATCTAATAAATCTGTTTTCTTAAATTTATATCCACAAAAAATAGAAATTTTCACAATCACATTATATTGTGTTTAAACAGATAAACATTTCCACAATCTCAAAAATATAAAAATGAACACATCATAGAATATAATACATAAAATTTTCAACATAAAAAATGAATTGTTATTCACGATTGACTGATATCATCTGCTATTTGTTTTCGTATAGTCGTTATCTCTGATGCACCTTCACCCTCTCGAGTCTATGCATCGTGTGAATCATTTTTTTCCTGTGACAAGGTACGTCATGCATGGTACTCGTATGCTTCAGGTGGGATATGAAGTGAATCATCTTCTAAGACGGCAAACTCTGCATCTGATCTGAAGTAGTGTCGTCGAATGAAATTGTGTAGTGTCGTTGTGTCAACAAATACCTGTACTTGTTTCGGAAATGGGTAAGCCGGCATATCACGTAATATAATCCACTTCTTTTTCCATACTCTGAAAGCTCTTTTGATTATATCGCGCGATGAGTGTCTTCTGTTAAATAATTCTTTCTTGTCTCGTGTTACCCTGTTTGATCTTTCAAAGTCAGGGATGTGGTACTTCGTATCTAGACAAGACTTCAAATACTTATTTTGTAAGGGATATCCGGCGTCGACCAATTAGTATTTACTTATTCAATTACGCTAATTAGAAATTGAAAAAAAACTACCAAACAAATTTATTGTCTCAAAATCACCTGGAGGTGGGCACGAAAAACCATGTATATGATTTCTAGTAGATAACTTGAAAACACGACTATCATGCGCACTCTCTTCTCATTCAGCCATAACAAAGTTAAAAAACATGTAAAAATCACACAAGGTCATAACATTTTGTGTGGGGGAGCCGCACCGTCCGATGTACGCAACCTTTTCTGCATCAGATAGGCGCACATCGACATGTGTTCCATCAATAGCTTCAATACAGTCCTGAAGTTACAGTTAAAACCCTTTAGCGTATGTAATGTAAATAAATTTAATGTATGAATGTTATATTAAAGGCAAACCTTGAAGAATGACATGTATCGAAGGTCGTTTGCAATTTGTAAAAGAATGGAATGAAATGTTGGATCATTGAGCTTAACTACCTTGCAGGCCAAACTCACCAGAGATTTTTCCATTTTCAATTTTTTTCATATTTTTCAATCTTTTTTTTAATTGATCGCACTTGTTCTTAAATTTCATTCGATCATAATCCCTTCTGATCACTTCCTTGAACTTAACCATAAAATTTTGTCACCCTTCTTTGTTAAAATACGTGGTGGACCTATTTCCCACATTGACCTCTCTCAGAGATAAATCACATAATATAATAGTGACTCATCTATCCCACGTGACTGATGATCCAGCCTCTTTAGCTTTATTCATTGAGTTCTATGAGTTTAACGGATAAGCACAAAATATTTTTTTTCATAGCAAGAAATGTCCCAACTGAAAGATAAGTAATTTATGTGATAGACATGTGAACGAAAATAATATTGATGAAGCATTAAAATAATATGCTCTTCGTTCATATGGGAAAAAAATTTCAGCAAAGGAGAATTTGATATAAGAACCACCCAATTCCTTTATGTTTACATTTATAAGGTGAAACACACATTTTGAAGGATAGATAACGGGCAAATATGTATAAATTGAAGTTTAGGTTTTAGATATGTAATAAAATAAATCTAAATAGATCGCGTGGTATATATGTAAAGCTTTCAAGAGATAAAAAGCTAACAAAAAACCAGAACAAAAAGAGCAAAACCACCCAATTATTACAAGCAATGAGTACGATCTAGTAATTTCACATCTAACGAGTTCAGATCCATCAATTTTCGTAAACCAAAAAAAAATATCATGGACATTTCTTATCTGTCATTTTGCATATCCACCTAAAAAAACAAAAAAAAAAAGATCCAACCGCATTTCCCGAATGACTGCAAATGAACAAGAAGGAAGACGAGACATGCGAAGGAATAGTTATACCTGTTGAGAGAAATGTTGAAGGAAATGCTGAAAGAGTGAAGATGTCAAAGAAGAAGAGGGAAAACGCACTGGATCGTAGAGGAGGACCACTTAGAGCATGTGAAATGCGAAGGATAATTGTCAGACGAGGGCGGATGCGTATGAGGGCAGGGGAGTAATAATTCGATCAAAAACGTGGGTCGCGGGGGTCGTCCCGCAGTCCGCGTCTTTTACAAATTTAAAAGCTCCGTTTTTGATAATCTGGGAATAAGTGCGAACCAAACAGGACGGCGGGCTGCCCCAACTGGGCCCTAAATCAAAGAGGAAACATCTTCTAAAGCATGAAATAGCACTCAATGTAGATTTAATTGATTAATAGATCAACAAAGAACATCCAATAAATTTTCTTAATTTTTTTTCAAAGCTCTAATAAGCAATTGTTGTGAACTTAATAAAATTAATGAAAAGTAGAGCATTTCTAAAACCTCTTCAACTTTCCTGGCAAACAAAAGAAAATGCAACCAAATAAGTAGTGTTTTCTCTACTTTAGTTTCACTTCATCTTTTGAATATCATTCCTCTCCATTGTGTAACTCATAGACTACTTCTTTATCACGATGAATATGAAAGATCACAAACAAAAAAAGTGACAAATGCTTTGCTCTTACATGCTCCAACTCTTCAAAATTGCAAGCCAGATCGCTAGAAAATATGAGAAGTGCTGTGAAGGATGGCCATTGTGGTGACCATTCCAAAAAATCTCCATGCTTGGTAGAAAATCTTTCGGCTAGATACAGTCTTCTCTCATTTTTATCCACAATTATTTAGATTTGATTTGGATAATCCATTTCCTTAGTTCTATTTTAAAAATCTTTCAAACTTCAACTTAAATATGCATCTTTTGATTTTTATTTTGTAAAAAAGATTCATCAATAACATTAGGCTTGGAGAAGTTCTAGTTCTAATAATGCAATAAAAAAGTATCTTAACTCAGCGTGCTACGCTTTCTTTCTTTCTTTCTTTCTTTTTTTCTTTTCTTTTTTTTTGGGCCAACCTTATTTGGTAGTGAAAAAAAGGGAGATTGAAATCGAGCTAAATACACTAATGGTCAGCTCCTTATTTTAGCCCAAAAACCTAAGTTTATAGGTGAGGGGATATTGGGTGTATAATATTACAAAAGTAGAGGGTTTTGAAAATTCAAGATTTTGGTTGGCTAAAAAGAATGCAAAAAAAAAAAGTGGGGTTTTAAATTCATCCTTTGTAAATTATGGATGTATTTTTGAAATTACGTGAATCAATCATTTTCAAAATAAACAAATACCGGGCCTACACGAGTTCCTATCATGACCTCTTCTCCTTCATACATGATCAAAGTAGTCAATCCCTACCTCGAGCGAGCTCCCCTCAAGATCATTGTTGCTCCTTCACTCATTGTTGATCCCATTGGTACGCCCCCATGTGCAATCCAGTCAAGATTCATCCCAAGTGAGCTCCCCTCACGATTTACTCTGCTCTTTACAGTGTTGTTAGTCCTGTTGGTACCTCCCCAAGCGAGCTTCCATCACAATGTGTTTCAACAGGGCCCTACTTACAATTTTGTCTACTCCTTCACACGTTGTCACCCTGTCAGTGCCTTTCCATGTGAACTCTCATCGCATTTCATCCTGAAAGTCCTCCTAAGCGAGCTACATCCCCGCACTAGCAAGCTCCATTGTAAAGATGTGCAAGGTTTTTTTTTCATTTTTTTCTTTATTTTCATATTGTTTTTTATTAGTTCAAGTTAAACAGAAAAAAAAAATCCCTAAATTCTAAATGAATTGTATTGACAAAACACTATACTTAAAATTACCTTGAATCCTAAGATCTATCAACCAAACAACCACTTAGAGTATTTACACCAACATATTTTTAAACCCCTTATGTGAGAGTAAATTCTCCCTCATGTGCCTTAACAATCTTGCCTTCACATAAGAGCACTCCACATCAATTATCCCCCCTCCCTCCCTCCAACAAATCTTAACAACATCGTCAAGTATCATGCACCAAAAAACTTCTTCAACCACGTGATAGTAATGTAAGACTCATCTTCTCTTGAAAATTGTTAAACCATGATAGAAAGTGACCTGGTCCTATGACAGCAAGAAAGTACAAGAAACAAATGGCCCTTATTGAATCATCGGCTCTAACACTATTTGTGAGAGTGAACAAAGGAGAATCAAAATCGAAATTGCAGTCAAACAATATTTTCAACCCAAATAATTAAGCATGTGGGTAAGAGTAAGTTTATCAAACTATTTTTGATAAACTTTTTAATGAAGTTTCAAAAAATACGATCGACCATAGTAATCTTAATATAGTTAATAATAATAAAATGTTTCATGTAACCGACCCACATAGTGGGATTAAGGCTTTGTTGTTATAAGAGTAAACTACTTCAAATTTCTAATAACAAAACGTTTTACATCATCTCACATGCCCTAACAAATCTTAACATTCCTTCAATAAAATGTCAAACTCTAAAATTCGCATCAATACATCCAACCAAAAAATAATTAAAAAATGCATTAACTTAACATAAAAGCAAATAACAAGAAATAAATATAAGACATTGCACTTAATTTGCTCCATAATCTTAAAATACATGCAAGCATATAATCCATTAGACATGACGGCACCAAGTGCACAATTTTATTAACAGGAATTACATGAAAAATGGCAAGCCTTTGATTACTAGTTTGGAATAAAAACATGGAAACTTATCATCTAACTAGAATGAAATGAAACTTGTAATATTATTTAACTACTTTTAGGAGGTGTTTCATAGAGCCTATTAATAGGATTTATCACCAGATTTACTAGATCCAACCGAACGCTAAAATGTAGGAGTTCCATGGAATTATGAATTTTCGGATCTAAGGCCCAAATTTTGTCTTCGATTCAGCATAAATCCGGATTTACTAAATCTAGGGAAGGGGTATAAGATTAAAGGATTTAATAAATCCTACTAACACTAAATCTTACCTGCAGCCAAACACCCCCCCCTAGCTTCTTTTGGAGGAAATCTTATTTCAAAATTGGTTGAAACAATGAAGTTAATAAAGAATGGGCATCGGCATCCCAACTCTACTAGAGAGACTAAGTTAGAAGATAAAAAATTGATGTAAACTGCAAAAACATACTCGAATTAATCGAGCCTTCCTAATTAATTTTTATCTGTCGAGACGTGACTGAGATGGAAATAAAGTTGTGAGAATTAATTCTAATTTCCTTAATTAAGAAAATTAGAATTAATTAATAAATCCCTTAAATTAAGGAAATTAGAATAAATTTGTAATCCCTTAAATTAAGGGAATTAGTTAAATAGTTTCCTAGTTTTTCTTCTTTTAATCTCATATATAATACTTTGTATGATCAATTCAAAAGAGGTGTGAAATACAAATTATTTCTTTGATTTCCCACATTATCCTCAATTTTAAACAAAATTTGACCAAACCTGCTACAGAACTACACATCTTTATTAAAGATAACTTTACACCATGTCATTCAGTTTCCTAAAAGCATAACTAACTAGTAAATATTTAAATCAAAACCTATCCCTTTTGTTTACCTGAAGGGCACCCCTTGCACCACCTAAAAATTCAATCACATGATTGGGGAAATTAAGCCGATAGAACAACATTTTGTACACAACACGGTAAAAAATTAAAATTTTTAATAAAATAAAACGAGGATCATGCATCACCAACATAGAAAGATAAAAGCCTGCATACTATTAAGCTTGTAGGCACTGAAATGCCCTCTTGTAGAACAATAAAAATCAAAGTTGAGCATATGCTAATCAGTGATCAATACTTAATATGAAGAAGAGAAGAAATATAGACACAAGCTACAGGCACAAGAATATGGAAAATTATTATAAATCATGTATAAATTTGTGGAATACAAACATGTTCATTGGTATACATAGGGAATAACTGATTTGGTTATACTAGCGTTGAATTGGACATAAGCATACAATAGCCAAAAGAAAGTTATAACCCTAAGGATTTGCTTAATTAATATTATGCAAGAAAATAAATAAAAACCTGTATATAATACACATCCTTAATAATTAACCTTGGTAAGTATGTTATAAACCAGCATATCTAATCTCCCTATAAATGGACTGTCTT